AAATACAAACAATTGAATGACTTTTTGAACAATTTATTTCTGCAAGCAAACGCAGAAAAAAACGCATGATGAATGCAAATTAAATTTTTTTCCCCAGTAACCTGTTCGGCATAATTACATGCACTTTTTAAGTAACAAAATGCGTTCAGAATATTTTATCAATGATGAAACTCATTAAGATGGTATAAATTTTACATTTATATGATCAATGAGCTCAAAGAATGAGTTATATGTGATTGTTAATCCTAAATACTCTTCTGAACGCTTTGAATATCATATGTGAACAATCATCATGACATTGTGTGTAAATCTGACATATATTCACTGTAACTGGCGCTATAATTATAATACGGCTTACAAGTCATTGAAATGTAAATGTCTCTTAATTGAATTTCTATGGGATACATGACCGGCTACATGACTTGAGACGTACATCAGATCTAAAATACTTGAAAGACATAATTCTGATTTTCGGAACGATACCTTAGAAATTTGTAAAGAAAATTGGCTAAATGCTAGACCGCACTTGCACATGTGAATACATTAATTATCTTTTTATTATGGAAGCAAAAACTCTTCATTTACTTGCCTGACACAGCAATGTTAATCAATTAGCTGAGCCCAGCTAATTGATCAACGGTGGTGACGAATAATTATATTAATTTTAATAATTATATATTTATATTATAATTACAGCGAATAATTAAGGGCGTAAAGTGTATCGATATTTGAATAAAATCTCACTCATATCCTCTATGTGTAGAGTGTTAGGCCATGTTAGCAATACGTGTTGCACTTACGAGCACAAACTGTACATGTTCTTTTCATCTTCTAATTCGCTTAACTTTTCTGTAAATAAAAAGATAAGGTTCTCAACTGATTTATTTATATTAGAATTGTAATGCTGTGCTCATGATTCATATTTTATGAAACTATATCAGATATTCGCTTTATTTTATTATATTGGATGGGGTTCCAAAGTTTTATGAACTGAATATGTTTTCTCTTGGGGTTCCAAAGTTTTTTTTTAATTGTATTAAAGTCATGCATTTAATTAAATTATAATTCCGTCTCTTAATTGCTTGATCGGTTATGATTAACTTTAACGAATTATCTTCCTATCTTCCAGACTTATAATTGCCGAAGATAGGAAAATAACTAAATCAATATAGGTGAAAATGAATGTTAAGCTTCCGTCAATAAAACTTTTATACCTGTAATACTGGATGGAAATACGATTTCTTGGGTTCGAATGCCACATATAATAACTAAAAAGCTTTTTCGATCGTGCTAGAAATTTGTGGCTCAATTTTTTTAACAAAGCAGAGATCGTTTTTCTTGCAGGCCGGCGACCTATAAGTGCTGTTTCGAAGTTATCGGCGAAGTAGAACGATTAAACAAGATATGTTTTTTAATTAGATGTAAGCGTGATAATACTTCATATAAATGTGGAAACAAATAGCAAGCTGCTAATTTGTACTATTTACCATGTAATTTCCTAATTTTGTACTGTGCAGTGTGCAATGGATGTAGAAAGTAAAGATTCGCAAAAAACGTAAAGATTCTCAAAAGAAAGTAGAAAAATGCAAAAAAACGCGCAAAAGATTTTTAACAAACCAATATGGCAAACTTGCTTGTAGTACCCGGAATAGTATGATGCAAGAATAAAAGTCTATAATGTGAGTAAAAAATACGAGAAATAAATAGTATTGTATTTCGGTGGAATGATCGAGCGTACACGTGATTTGATACGCAAAATCTCAGGACAAAGATAAACATGTGGCATATATGTCTTTATTGAGGTATGAAACTACATAAAACTTTAACTACTGAAAAGGTGCGTTTGTATTTATACGCAAAAATATGAGATAAAGAAAGGCACTTTCTCTGGGGATGCCTTTGACCTGATGAACGAAACTAAAAGACAAAGACTTGCTCTGTGCTTAACGTGACTTGATGCATGCAGCAGCGGGACAAAGGCAGGCGCTAAAGGTGCGCAGGTGCGAGGCGTATTAATAGTGTGGGGGAACATCCGCGTGTGGCGTGATGCCACATGGCGGATTAATAGTGTGGAGGAACATCCGCGTGTGGCGTGATGCCACATGGCGTATTAATAGTGTACGTGATGCCACATGGCGTATTAATGGTGTGGAGGAACATCCGCGTGTGGCGTGATGCCACATGGCGTATTAATATATTGTGGAGGAACATCCGCGTGTGGCGGGATGCCACATGGCGTATTAATAGTGTGGAGGAACATCAGCGTGTGGCGTGATGCCACATGGCGTATTAACAATTTGAAGGTATACGGTGCGTGTGGCGTGATGCCACATGGCGTATTAATAAAATGAAGGTAAGCGTGTTGCAGTGCCACATGGAAGCCACCAAGCCACACCATAAGAACTAACTACGTCGGCACGAGACTAATAGGCTCGACTCATTGCCACTGGCAGCCAAACATTCTGCCCTTGCCAAGTGAGCCTAAATTATACTCAACCGCAAGCATCTTCATTCATGAGTCCCTACATTCTTGCTTCTCTTGTTGGGAGTAAAAAGCAATCTTGATCTGAGAGTTCGGTGATAGTTATGATATCTTCTAGACAATATTTTGTTCTTTTATAGAACGTAACACGTAGTATATTAGAATATTTATTGACACCCAGTTTGAAGAAATGGTGCTAATATTAGTCGTTTGAAATTAATTAGATTTATGGTATATTTGCCATCCTTTGATCCACGTGTCGATGTGACACGCTGTTCATTAAATGTCGATCTAAATTTATTGTAATTAACCATGCTACATGCAGTTCAGAGAAGCCATGGTATTTTTCATATGGTAATCGCTGCCACATGCAGTTCTGGGAAGTCATGTGGTAATCTTCATTTGGTAATCGTTACCACATGCAGTTCAGAGAAGTCATGGTATTTTTCATATGGTAATCGTTACCACATGCAGTTCAGGGAAGTCATGTGGTATTTTTCATTAGGTAATCGTTACCACATGCAGTTCAGGGAGGTTATACCGCTCTTTAATTGGTAATCGATACCATTGGCTTCCTAGAGAAGGTCATTCTACAATTGACGTCCATGCACGGTTATTCACCGAGTAAATCACAAACTTTAAACTTGACGGCCATTTTCCAATGGAATTATTTCGATTGTTCACTGAATAGTGAACTTAGTTTCTATTACAAGAACTTATTTTAAGCTCAAATTATTGTACATTCGCATCGATGAGTCATGAGCAGCTCGACTAGATCCTTGCTGTGCAAAATTCTCCCTATATGATTATAGAACTAATCTGAACTCTTGAATTAGCGAATTCATATAGGAACGCAAAAAATATAGCAACTTAACGTCCAAAAATTAATTCCAGTGATAACTTTATTATTGGTTGATCTGTGATAGAGTTTTCGGCGAATATTTTCCTCAGTAATTAGGAAATATTGTCAATAAAACTAATATGTAATGCTAGGCTCATTATATGTCCAAGTCTGCCGACATGTTTGCGGTGTGCACTCGAGGCCAGCACGCAAAGGTCGCGGCTCACCAGTCAATATGGAGTGTCTGCCGCGCGGCCAAACTGAAACAAGCCAAGTTTCTGGCAAGGAGGCGCTCTTTAACACTGAAAACTTGAGTGACGTGATTCCTTCACACATGAAATAATTGATTAAGCCATTAAGTATAATTGAAAAAATTCTAATTATTTGTGCGAGGCGTGCAGTTTTCAAAACAGCGGAATTATTTATTCCGGTACTATCATTGGTAAAAATGATAACTCAAAATTTATATTTTCTTTCATGAATTGCAACGATTTTTATTGAACCGCGTCTACGTCGTCCAAAAAGCAGCTAACATATAGTAGCAGTTTTTCGAACGAGTGCAATGACAAAGTCACAAATCAAAGAATTTTCGTTAATAAATTAAAAACAATGTTCTGAAGTCGTCTACCCGTGTTTGACTTACAGAGAGATTAACGAAGTGTTTGCAGAGACAAAATGATTACCGCTTCTGCCAGCTCTCTCGTCTAGCTCTGGGCAAATGCACCTGCGTTAAAGAGACCTGCAGCAACTGAAAAAGAAGGCCCAAGGTTTCGGCATCTCTACTTTCTGGCGAATTGTTTATTCAATCCTATGATTTTCATTCTCGGAATTAACTTAGATGTAGTCTACATTTCCCAATACATGAACTATTGTATCATTTAATTATCATTGTCGGCGATCTTGTTTACATTGCAGCAGTCTATTTATAGACGAAGAGAAAGTTGCTGCCAAATGCACGACGCTGACCTTGGACTTAAGGACTGTATTTCACCATACGGTTTATCTCCTCGCATATTCATTTCTCTTCTTAATTATACGTGATAACCCGCTTTGAATAATTAGTTTTATTAAATGACAATCAGTTATTTCTTAATAATTATGGATGGAATATTGGGTAATTCAAGACGAAGTAATGAATTTATTTTTTACTGCGGCCAGTCGACTAAAAAAATCAAAATACTTATTTTGAACATATTAGGCGAACATTTTCATTCGTCTTCTTTTATGTGGTAAACGAATTTATTCGTAGTTTCTGCGACCTTTCCATGTTCTCTCTACATGTTACTCAATTTTTTAATACTAATGAGGCCTGATGGAATTATATTAAATAAATTGCACGACAATTAATATGGATAATTTTCTTCGAGAAATGTGTGCTGATCTTTATTGTCGTTTTACGAATTGTAAGTTACTTATTGTTGACATTATAGTTATTTCTTGTATAACAGTATAATTATAAATACATTCCGATGATGAATTCAGACAGTATGAATTCAGTATTCTTCCCGAGATTGAACCTAAACATAATCGATCTACCGAACTCAACAAGCATTATCGCTTTTTAACTTTAGCAGACATGATTGAAAAAACTTTTACCGTGGCAACATGGATTACATGACACTCTCTGTGGCTTGCATATTGCCACTTTGGCCAGAGTTGGCAGTTGGTTAGCTGAGACAGCGGTGGGTGGTTGTGTGTTGTGCAAGCTCTCACTTGGATCTTCCGTGTACTGATAGCTGGTATACATGAGCTCAAGTGATGTTCAGTTCTCAGTTAGTTCCAACTGCTATAAATAATGTATTACATGAGCTGTGAATACGTTTTACCAAATCACTCCGCTTGATTGTGTGCAAGAATTCATGAGCATGCAACTGATGCAAGTGCAACTAGACGGCGATTTGGCGTGGATCGTGCTATCTTAGGTGCTATAGATTAGGATCCTATATTGTTGCCTCCTTAACATCAAGTCTGTTAATGCCTCTTTTTGTCGGTAAGTAACAATTTGAGCTATTTGCAATAAGTAAGTTATTTTGTATTTTAGTTATAAAATATTGCCCGTAGACATGATTGGAAGTGCAACACGGCTCCAAATGATGAACATTTGACTTAGTATTAACGCAGATGTATTTTTTGTAAACAACACGGTAGTCGGTACGGTAGGAAGTTAGGAACTATGATAAAGCAAATTCTTCGAGACGTTCGTCATTATTATAATCAATGTTGTTACTCTTTGCATGATTGTCAAATATGGACACAGATACAAATGCAGCAGACTTACCAAAAAGAACTGATGGAATACTAGCGTATACCTGCACCAATGACGAGTCAAAGGATTCTCAAAGAGGTGCTTCACAAAACGAACCATTTCTGTTATTTCGCGGAAAAAAATACAAAATTTTCAACACATCTAATCTTCATTACAATCGAGCTCGCCGAACTTAGAAAACAGCTTGTATTACTATTAGTCTGTATTATGATTAAAGTAGTTTATTGCTTCAAACACAGACACAGTACCACGTTTTATCCGCATGTCCAATAATCAGTTAGGTATGCAACCAGTGTACGCATACAGTTATGCGAGACAGAGACTCTAAAGCTGCATTGCATTACGTTACACCTGAACTTTAGGCGCTTCAATGCGGCTACATGCAGACAGGCTACAAGTCGCCTCTTTACTTTCCAGGAATTATTCTGAATAAATGTACGTGTCCTGTTTACAGGCCTCTATGAAATGCGAAATTCTTTGCTGTAATCTCACTGATAAATAGAGTATCACCACGAATAAAATTTATGTTGTATAGTTGCGTAAATTAGTACGTTTTATTCATTCGTTGAATCGTATTTCCTAAAGTTCAAAAATATTTATTAATTAAGAAGTTGTAATTTTTATGTTTGTCTCTTAAGTTCATCTGCGACTATGATATTGGACCCTCAAATCAGTTGACATAAGTAAACAATATGTACAATTATCCTATTCGATCCATTTTAAACATATACCCCGTTTTGAACGCTTCCTGACATATATGTATGTACCGTCGCGGTGCTGTTCTCTTATACTGAGGTGCTATTCACTATAACTTTAGCTATGCTGCCCTGATACCAGCTAATGCGAGTGCTCTCTGTTATATACCGTGGCTCTCGTAGCTTCGTATACTCCGGCAATTCTCGTTAATACTGCCTATATTTATTCGTACCTTAGCTTTAGCATCGCAGCACTACTTTCTCTTGCTGCTGGGCCTCCTTAATTTGTGCCTCTTGTACTGCAGCACAGTTCATATATTTTGCAGTGCCTTCTTCGTGCCTCAGCTCTTGTACTGCAGCACAGTTCATTTATTTTGCAGTGCCTTCTTCGTGCCTCAGCTCTTGTACTGCAGCACAGTTCATTTATTTTGCAGTGCCTTCTTCGTGCCTCAGCTCTTTTACTGCAGCACTGCTGCCTGGTAGTGTACAACTGTACTATTGTTCTCTGCTCGTTCACTTTCGACCTTGTCAAGGTATTGAGCTGTCCACATGTGACTCTTCTCTGCGAAATTAGAGCGTGTAACAAGTGACTGAATGCATAAATATACATTTTAATTGGTAAGTAATATTAGTAATGTAAACATTTTTACAGTTGGTACAAAGTAAAGATATTGTGATAGCGAGTTGTGAGCGATCGTCTTCCACAGTGCACAAAAATGCCCCCAGCCATATATTGGGCGATAGAGAAGTAAACGTTCTGTGGGGTGCTGGAAATATCGTTTAAACTTGTACATACCTATTACATGAAATTAAAACGTTGTGAAACCTTACAGATAAAATCTAGAAATGTTTTTTTTGAGAATTCTTTAGGTGCCAATCATTGTGTTGATCGATGTCTCTTCGGAGTTCTTTGCGTCTCAATCATAACGTTGATGTCTCGTGAGAATTCGTTGCGTGTTGATAATATCGATGATTTCTTTTGATAATATTTCAATCGCAGCGTTGCGTTGATTTAATTGTTCGCATTGCATCCACTACTTCGGTTATATACCAGCTAATCTATGGTGAGGTGGATGAAGGCTTTAGTTCCTTAGTTTCCTTAGTATTTGTTTGGTACGTAGCAGTCCCAGGCCACGATGGGTCGCCGCCTCTGTCACGATATCATTTAAATAGATTCCAGTGCAGCTGCAAGCCACTCGCCATGTCTCCCGAGCATTGACTCTATTCTCCTCAATTATCAATTAATGTTTCTGCCGGGTGCGCCGCCGTATGTCTGCATTGCATTAAAAGAAATTTTTTTGAGTCAATGAAACCGCGCGAGTACTGACTAGCTTGCATGTCTAGGCATAAGTTGCGTGTTTATATAACAGATCGGTCATTAAAAGTCACCGAGACTAATAGAACACTCGACTCAAATATTGCATGAGCTCTGCGTTGAAATTAACTCTGTGAAATATCTTCGATGTGAAAGGCATGAAAGCGAAAGTTCAATTCGCTGTTAACGAATCTGAGGATGAGGTTAACGTATTTCCTGGCAAGTGTACAGCTTCCGCTGGCTGGATAGGGTGCGTAGAATTGACTGCCTCTTTAGTTGGTTATGCTGAGTACGCACAAGCGATTTTAGTGTTGGTCCTCTTGTGGTTATTCGCTTTGTACACTTTCCCTCGTTTCGCTTAGTTTATTGTTTTGTTCGGACAATAGTTCGGGCCATTGATATCTTATGTTTTGTCATAGTTTATTGTAGCATTGTTCCTCATTGTTGCCTTAAAAGAATATCTAAATTTGACAAAAAATAATTTCCTAAAATATTTTGGACTATATTTTAAGGTCAAGCTCCAATTTCAACTTGATTTCATTATAAAATACAGAAGTAACGTTCCGTGTACATACCTAACATATAACCGAAAAAAACCTTTAGTAAACGAAGTTCACAAGAGTTACAGTAAAATTCAGTGTTTAGAATTTCTAAATTCGGAAAATTTTAGCAGGATTCTAGCGTTTCTGAGTACGTATCATTCTAGTTTTGAGAATATTTGAAAAAACTCATCTAAATGCTTATTACATTTTAGTGCACCTAGGGCTGCATTGTAATCCAGAAAAATATCCTGTTTATTCGCAAAGTCATTTTTTAATATTTTGAAAGATTTGTTTATTTTGAACACAAATTTCCTGTAAAACGTCGAATTTTCAGTGAGCTACTATGTATTCTTTAGTCTACATAAGCGGAACTATAAGCAAATTTATAACGTATTAGTGTATGATATGTTGGTTATGAGCCACTGATAATTCCTTAAAATGCATCGTGTTCAAAATATTCTAAACGTCTAGCAGTGAGACAATTCATATTTAAAGCCAAAATCGTGCAGAATTGGCCCATTAAAAGTAATATACGGTTGTGTGCAAAAGTGAGTTTCAGCGGATGACGTGTTACAATTTAAGTTGATTTTTGTGTCTCGTGCAGTTTTCTCATACTGGATTTTCGGGCATGCAATTTTTTCTGGATAAAAGATATTGTAATCGCACATTTGATTTATTTATGATGCCTGTTAGCGTGCCTCACGTACACGTGAGTTCGTTTCGATTTTTAACTGGTTTACCATACAAATAAAGGAATTACTTATCAAGACCTCAAACAATTTTTTTACTTCAACGAATACAAATTTCCATGCAAATTTTAGGCTACAAAAATGGGTTACGCGGAATAGAAATGAAACAGACCAGAAATAATATAGTTGTTTAGTCCGTAGGACTGCAGTCGTCCCCCGGTGTCAATACGCGTATACTTGAAATCGCTTTCATGTATGTGGCCCAGTGGTTAAAGTTCAGAGTACCAAGATTGGAGCAGAGAGTCGCGGGTTCGATCCCAGCTCTGTGCGCCAGTTTCTGGTCAGAATCGGCGAGGAGGCCGGACGGTTAAGCACAGCAGAATTGTAACAGTGCGTTGCGAGTTCGAGACCACAAAATGCTGTGAATGTTCTGCGATGTTAAGAATCGGCGACAGGCCTACGGCCTACTAACGCTGAAACCGCTATTATTATTATTGTTATTTATGCAATTATATACTTAACCTCGCCTCGGAAGTTGAACATTGCGATGTTGATTATGAGCCCTTGGTGTTGTTATAATATTAAACATGAGCCACTTATGTTAAATATAAGCCATTGATGGATATTTTTACTGGAAAGGAGGATATCCATGTTTCAGATTTGGGTTGAGGCAGGTTTTCCGTTGAGGAAAATGTACCCGATATTGCGGATGGACAGGTTTTTTACGCTGCAGGTGTCCATGAACGGCAGTGCGGTAACCCCAAGTCTAGGACGTGATAGGTGAAATCCGCGGTGGAGAATTGATTGACTGATAGTACTTATTTAATATTCTTATTGTGATTGTTTTGTCAGTTTTCATTGTTTAATTGTTGTTAATTGTTGACAAACCCTAGTCACACTCTTACTGCCGATCGAGTTAATTACTACTGCAGGCTATTTCTGCTGCTTCTCAATAATATATCTTGAAACCCCTCGATTAAGTGTATCGGTTCGGCAGGTGAAGTGCATTATAAATAAATACTTATAATGTTTACAGATATTTATATGTGCGTTTTTCTTGAAAAAAAAACATGTCGATACATGTTTGATTTCTGCACTGTTCGAAATAACGGTTAAAAAACGGTCTGACTGGCGTTCTATATAGTGGCCGGCTGCTCCGTTAAAATAAACCGTTTGTTTTTTTATTTGTGGTACGGTTTCTTGTGTTAAATGGAGGAAAAACAGCGACGCGATGTTTTTATTTCACGGGCCGGTCGGCCACTGAAATTATTATTATAATTCCATTTTCCTGATACCATTTTATTACGTTTTTTTCAAACAGTGTGCTCTCGTAATTACAGGCGTTGTTCTTTGCACTGATGCAGCTCTGCAGTTATAAAATGTAGCCTAAATTGTGAAGACTTGTTCACTGCTCGTATAGTCGATAACTATTTCCTTGTAATTTTTGCAAATGCTCTTAATAACTTAAATCTATCAATTACTA